CGAGTACATGAACAACAAGGAGGCCCTGCCCAAGTAAGTTTAGAGTTTACCCAACAGTTGGGGATTGTCTTGGAGGGAGCAGAGCAGGTGGAACCTGTCCTGCCATCTCCTGCTTAGCCAGAACAGTACCTCTTTCAGGGGCCCAGATTGGTCTTGAGGTCTAGGGGCCTGCTGCCATCCCACCCATCTCATTAAACTGAGGGGCCTGTCTTCGTCCTTATTACCTGAGCTCTTTATTTGTTCCTTCCAGAGCTGCTTTCCAGTACGGAATTAAGATGTCCGAGGGTCGTAAAACACGGCGTTTCAAGGAGACAAATGACAAAGCTGAGCTGGACCGGCAATGGAAGAAGATCAGTGCAGTGAGTAGCTTGAGCAAAGACTCTTAACAATCAGTTCCCAAAAGGGATTCTAAGGCCAAGTGAAGTTTCTAGAGTACTGGAAAAGGCTGCCTTCTCTAGTGTGTAACAGACTCATTCTGTGAGTCCACCAGCACTTGCCATCCAGTTGCCTTCAGCAGTCTCTCCAGGCTGGCTTCTTCCCTCATGGCTTGGTGCTTTTGGCACAGAAAGGTATGACGGGTGTTTGTGTGTTCAGGACTGATGGCTTGACTCTGCTAGTCTTGCTAACTCCCTCCTGCCCATCACAGAGCCTCATCAGCCATCCCAAAGCCTTACACTTTCAAGATTAGCTTGCATCTAAAAGGTTAGGGACTGTGAGCTGCCTGTGCCTTGTTTTGCAGGAAAGATTCCTGAATAGAAAATGAGGAAGGGTCTTGGCAAAAATTTTTTGGGTGATATCTTTTATTGGACCAGTTACATGGTAGGATAGACTTAGATAAACTTTCAGATGTGGGGTGTTCTTTAAAGAATAACATCATTCTAACGCTAAGAAAGTCCTTGTCATTTGAAGCAGGCCCTGAGCAAGGGTCTCTTCATAAGTGACCAGTGAGGCTTGTCACCAGAGCCAGCAGTTCATATAACTCTTCCCTGTAGAAATAGAATCTAAGGAGACCAACAAGGATTAGTGCTCTGCGTAGCTGGGGAAGGGTCTGGCTCCTAGCTGGGGGCCCTGGGTGTAGATGGGGGGACTACCTTTATAAGAATGTGTTGGCTGTAAATGGCTAGGAGATCAGCTGTTCCAAGACAAAACTTAGAGGAAATGAGACACTCAACACAGACAAGTGCAGGGTACTGCATTTGGGGAGAAGGAACCAGCAACACCCCTATAGGCTGGGGAACACCCTTCTTGTCAACACAGTGGCAGAAAGGGACCTTGGAGTCCTTGTTGACTCCAGGATGAACATGAGCTGCCAATGTGAGAAAGCAGTCAGTAAGGCTAGCCGCACCTTGTCATGCATCTACAGATGCATCACAAATAGGTCCATGAAGGTGATCCTTCCCCTCTGCAGCATTGGTCAGGCCACAGTTGGAGTATTGCATCCAGTTCTGGGCACTGCACTTCAAGAGGGGTGTGGCTAGCATTGAGAGGGTCCAGAGGAGGGCCACTCGCATGATTAAGGGGCAGCGGGTCAGGCCCTACGAAGAGAGGCTGAAGGGCCTGCGTCTATTCAGCCTCCACACGAGACGGCTGAGAGAGGATCTGGTGGCCATTTACAAACTCACCAGGGGGGACTAGTGGGAACTGTGGGAGGCTCTTTCCCCCGGGCACCATCGGGGGTTACTAGGAATAACGGCCACGAATTGTTAGAGAGAAGGTTCAGGCTGGACATCAGGAGGCATTACTTTACAGTTAGGGCTGCCAGACTCTGAAACGGACTCCCAAGGGAGGTGGTGCTCTCCTACTTGGGGGTCTTCAAGAGGAGGCTGGACAGATATTTGGCTGGGGTGTTATGACCCTGCACTCATTCTTGCCCAGGGCAGGGGGTCGGACCTGATAATCTGTTTAGGTCCCTTCTGACCCTAAGCACTATGAAACTGAGACACAAAAACAGGTACAAATGGGTAAAAAATGAGAGACTTTCTGGCCAGGACAATTGTTGCCATGAGCAAAGCTGAAGAGGGGGAATGGGGTGCCTTCCCCAGTCTGAGAGAGCTGTGGGAAAGCTCCCCTCCTCCAGCAGTGTCTAGGAAAAATACAAATTAATGTGGTTGCACAGTTTTCTTTGTATTACAGCTGCAAGAGTTCCAGGTGCTTAAGAATCACCAAGCCTTGGAGCTTCCCCCTCAGTCTGAGGATGATGAAAGTGCCTTAGGGCTGCCAGTGGCACTCTTAGTAATATGTTAACTGTGCTTTCTCTGCAGATCATTGAGAAGAGGAAGAAGATGGAAGCTGATGGGTTAGTAGACTTTCTTCTTTAATGCTAATTTGCTGCTTTCCTGAAAAGTGCCTGCACTGGGACAGAACTGCCTTTACCTCGGGACAGGCAGTGCCAGGATAAGCTTTCCTTTCGTAACCCCATCAGTCCTGCCACAGTGGGTACATGTTTGGGAACAGAAGAAACTCTAGGACTTTGTAGGCTTTGCCTCTAAGTCTGCTGGCAATGGAGCCAGTTCTTTTATTTCAGTGCCCCACATCCCTCTGTCTAACTTTTAAGCTCTGTGTACTCAAGAAGCATGTTCTAGCTGATAATTATCGAACTTCCCACTCAACAGAACATTTCCAGGCTTTAGAACTTTTTCAGCCCATCTTGCCCACAGGAGAAGTATGCCCATCTTGATGGGGGTGGAGGGGGGGTGTTGTGTTGTGTTAGATGTGTCTTCTAGAAGTTGGTCTACATGAGCCACCGGACCCAGGCTTGAAATAGTGTGGCTGTCCTGAACACTGTAATGCTGCCGCCACCACCTAACTTGAAATCTTCTTAAATACCCTTCACTTAGTTGCACTGAGTGGGCCTAGGACCCCCAGTTGCTTTAAGCTAGCAGGATTTTAAATTTCAGAGGAGTTTATCCTTGGCTTTTCTATGTCATTTCAGTACCCAGGGCCTTGCTAGGTTGGCTCAGGCAATAGGACATGAAGGGCTCTTTCAGAGACCACAAAACTGCTTTCCTGCTTATTATTACTTACTTGCTGCTTTGGTTAGCAAATTGCTTCACCCTCCATACCCAGCCCCCGAGTGAGCTCCAAGGAGTAGCTGTGATCAGGCTTTAGCCCAGGCTGTCTGTCCCAGACTTCAACTGAATACCTGCTTGGGAGCATGGTTTTGATGTTGGTTTATGGCAGGCAGAGTGCCATATAGTATACTACTGCTCCCTGTGCACACTGTGACTTCCAGTCCATTAGGTTGTATTTGGCTTTGAGAGCTAAGTGCAGCTTCTCTTGTGCATCTGCCCTGCTTTGGAAGACAGGCTATGTGTGCACCTGGAAAACAGTGGGTGCCTCCAGGATGATGATCATTCTTCAACAGGAAATGGGTTGAGGGGAAATGGGTCTGGAGCACTAAAAAATCTCTCATCCTTGCTGACAGGATGTTACTATCATTGGCCTTATGTCTGTCTTTTGTTTCAGGGTTGAGGTGAAGAGACCAAAGTATTGAAGTCCCAGTTGAGTTTCTCTGTCTTGTCCTCCGATCTCTGGAACCTTGATTCAGTGGACACTTTTTATTTCCTGTTTTTATTCAAGTTCTTCCCTTCAGATTCTTCTTGAAGGCTCTGGACTAGAGCTGCTTTCCTCTCTGCACTCAGCAAGGAACAGGGTAAATGTGTATGTGTAGGGGGCAGGGAGACCTTTCTGGGGCCAGCAGACCGTGGGATTGGTGCAGGCAGTTTGCCCTGGCTGTGTTTCTTCCTCCCACATCTTTGCTGTGATCTGTGATTTATAATTGATGTAACTGCAATAAAATTGCACTAAATCTTTGTGTGTACGGCGTTCCTTGTGTTTTGGCTTGGGATAAGGGGGGGTTAGGCTGAAGCGGGGGGAATTTTTGTTCTTCATCTAAAACAGGGGCAGATTGGGTTTAGAGGACAGAAGACTGGATTTCAAGAGCAATACTAGGAGAGCTGAGGTCTAGAGAGCACAAAGCAAAAATTAGTGTTTTCACTGCCTTACCACAGCATCATGGAAATCAGGGCAGAACCAGGACTTGAACACTAGTGCACTGAGCCTTAGTCTGACTGCTAGAAAAAAGCTGGCTTTCTTCTGACTCCTTGCAGGAAAATAGTTGTACTAAAGCAAATTTGGTCTGGACCTCAGAGGGGGATATAGAGCAGTAACCCTGTTTTACAGACCAACAGACAGAGGGTGTAGACTTGAGACATGCATCAGAAGAGCAAGGTCACTATGGAGCTCAGACTTGGTGTTTTCCTAACAGAAATCTGGGTCCCTTGTTCGACTGGAAATGAACTTACGCACCCTGTTTTTTTCTGAGAGAGAAGAACAATAAAGTTAGTTGCTTCCCACCAGACAGGGAAAGCCTTTCCCTTTTCTCTGGGGCAGGAGCAGGTTTTGGTTTCTGCTGTGCAAAACTTCTGGGGTAAAGAATCTATCCTAGGTTGAACTCTGGCTTCTTGCATTCAAAATCCAGACAGGGAAAACAGTGTGTGGCCTGGGAGCAGCGGAGCATCTAGGCCTCCTGGGCCAAGGGTGTCCAACTCGTCGGGGCCGGCCGGGAGCCCGGGTCCGTCGGGGAGGGGAGTCGCCCTGGTGCAGCAGTGGCTGGCTCAGGCGGCCGGACGGTGACCCACGTGGGCTGAGAAGAACCGGGGCCCGACAGCCGCCCCCGGAG